CTGCTCTTTGCCACCTGCAAGAGCTCTTGGCCACGCCCACTTCTCCGCTCTGCACGGAGATCAGCTGATCAGCTCCAGAAGGAAGTTTTATCTGCTGCTCTGAGTTGCACAAGTGTGCAGCAGGTGCTAAATAATTCAAAATAATTCATTTTAAATTAAAAAATCCATGCTGATCGTGTGGCTCATACATCAGTCAGCCACTTGTGTGTCATGTCCAATCTTATTTTGAAAAACCGTGATAGAGCAACTGTGAAGTAGCGAGGGACTACTGTAATATAAATAAGTATATAGTGAATCCAGAAAGTATTCACAGCGTTTGAGACTATATTATACATTATTATCACTTTTTCCACCTGTGGTTTTGATTCAGCCTTATTCCAAATAGTATTAAATTAATCTCTTTTCTCAAAATTCTGCACACACCCCATTGTGACATTGTGAAGAAAGATTGGGATTTTTTTCATATTTGTTAAAAAACAAAAACTATGAAATCACATTTACATAAGTATTCACAGCCTTTTCTTCTTTGGCAGCAGTTACAGCCTCCAGTCTTTTTCAATATGATGCTTCAAGCTCAGCACACCTATCTTTAGAAAGTTTGTCCCATTATTCTGTGCAGTACTTCTCAAGCTCCATCAGGTTGGATGGAGACATCTGTGCAGCCATTTTCAGATATCACCAGAGATGTTCAGTCAGTTTCAAGTCTTGACTCTGGCTTGGCCCCTCCAGGCAGGACCTTCACAGAGTGGTCCTGAAGCCCCTCCTTTGAGATCATGGCCACTCCAGGACCTTCACACAGTATTCCTGAACCCACTCCTCTGAGATCTTGGACATGTGATTTGGGTCGTTGTCCTGCTGAAAAATGAATCGTCGCCCCAGTCTGAGGTCTAGAGCGCTTTGGAGCAGGTTTTCATCCAGGATGTCTCTGATCATTGCTGGATTCATCTTTCCCTCCATCCTGACTAGTCTGTTCCTGCTGCTGAAAAACATCCCCACAGCATGATGTTGCCACCACTATGCTTCACTGTAGGGATGGTATTGTCCTGGTGATGACCTGGTTTCTTCCGAACCTGACGCCTTGTGTTCACACCAAAGAGTTCGGTATTTTTCTCATCAGACCAGAGTCTGGTCTGAGAGTCCTTCAGGTCCTTTTGTCCAACTCCAGACGCTCTGCCATGTTCCTTTTATTAAGAAGTGGCTTTCATCTGTCCACTGTACCATACAGGCCTGATTGGTTTCAGAGATGGTTTTCCTTCTGAAAGGTTCTCCTCTCTCTATAGAGGAACACTGAAGCTCTGACAGAGTAACCATCAGCTTTTTGGTCACCTCCCTGACTAAGGTCCTTCTGTATAAGTTTGGAGTTTACGAACTTCAAACTTCTATCGGTATTTCAGTTGCTATAATCCAAACCGTAAATAGAATTAACTATGTTTACTCTGAGGAAGCTCCTAAAACTGCAAACACACTTTTAGCAGATATTTTCCATGCTCATCCCTATAATTAACACAGCCAGGCCAGTTGTGTAATGTAAAGTACTTTGCTACTTCATATTACAGCCACTGTACAAACTGAGTACAGCTGTGCTGATGTGCGCTCTATGCCTTTTGATTTCAGGTGAGGGCTACGAGTGCACGGTGACCGTGGATGACGAAGACAGCAAAGTCATAATTTTTGACAATTGGAAACAGGTGAGTGACATTCCTGTTTTAAAAAAAAATAATTTCTTGTATCTTCAAACTCGGTAACCTTTATTTATGAGACTTTAGTTGTGAAAACACACTTGCAAGTGCCGGATTACATCCACCAAGTACAGCGTCATTTTAGCACAGAGCTGAGGAATGTGACCAAATGATTACGTTTTTATTTGTTTTTTTAAGACAAAATATCTACAGACTGCACAGATGTTGCTTCATTGTGATGCCGTAATGTCCCTGACTGTTTTCAGCCACCTGAGTACCTGAGGTAGTTACTAATGAGTCCGTAGCCACTCAGCCACAGCTGAGTACGGAGAAGCTCTCATAACCTCACAGTAACTTTACTACGCTCTGGTGGTCCTGCGGGGAAAACTCAATCACATTAAAATACACTGAAAATACAACTTTAATGTCTGATTAGAATGAGACACTACAACCTGTCAGGTTTAAGGACATAAATCATAATGATGGCTTAGAAGATGTCCTTTAATGCGTCAAATCTTGTCTGAAAGATGGGTTAAAACTCTGATTTAAAAATGTAAAAGCTACCCTCATTTCTGATATGTTAATTCTCTAACAGAAAACATGAGGACGTGAATAAAAATGTGTTGGGTTATTCTCTCCTGAGATCTGGGTCATGAACAGACCGCCTTGTTGTCCATGAACCTGAACCAAGCCTGCAGGAACAGGACGTTTACTCAAATGTAAAGTGGTTTGTAGATAAAGGTACGAGCAGGAGGAAACCTCTGTGGAACCACTGGTTTGAGAAGAACAGTCACGCCTCACATCGAAGCATCCAAAGTTCTAACATCAACATTCCTTCCCTGCTCTAATGAAATGGGACAGACCAATTTTCCAGTTCCTCTGATGGGCTAATTTTCTGTATATTCCAGTGTAAAAAGTGTGTTCATGGTTTTGTGTGTGTGTGTGTGCGTGTGTATGAATGTAGGATTTTTAGAAATGTTGGCCAACTGAAAAGTATGAACATGAAAAGTTTGAGCATGTACAGCACTCAGTACTTAGTTGGGGGTCCTTTTGTCTGGATCACTGCAGCAATGCGGCGTGACATGTAGTCTCAGTCTGTGGCACTGCTCAGGTGTTATGAGAGCACTGGTTGCTCTGCTAGTGGCCTTTAGCTTTTCTGAATTGTTGGGTCTGGTGTATCACATCTTCCTCTTCACAATACCCCATAGATTTTCTATGGGGTTAAGGTCAAGTGAGTTTGCTGGCCAATTAAGAACAGGGATACCATAGTCCTTAAACCAGGTACTGGTAGCTTTGGAACTGTGTACGGCCAAGTCCTGTTGGAAAATGAAATCTGCATCTCCGTAAAGTTGGGCAGCAGTAGGAAGCATGAAGTGCTCTAAAACTTCCTGGTAGACGGCTGCGTTGACCTTGGACCTCAGAAAACACAGTGGACCAACACCAGCAGATGACATGGCACCCAAACCATCACTGACTGTGGAAACTTGACACTGGACCTCAAGCAATGTGGATTCTGTGCCTCTCCTCTCTTCCTCCAGACTCTGGGACCTTGATTTCCAAATTAAATGCAAAATTTATTTTCATCAGAGAACATAACTTTGGACATGTCATTAACACCTGGGGTGATTGTGATAGAGGGCAGGTTTGACAGGAGCTGGAAAACATAAGGATTGCAAAACACAAATACACATTCATCCTCACAATATTTAAAATAAGCATTGGAAAGGAGGCTCAGACCAATTGTCCACATTGAATTCAGGAGGAGCAATTTGGTTTATGTCTAGGTTGTAGAACAGTGGTCCCAATTTTCACTCTTGCAATGTTGCTTAGGAGGTCATGGGAGTTTGACTCACCAGTCTATATATGTTTAGCAGAACTTGAAAAAGCTTATGATTGTGCTCTTAACAGTTTGTTGAAGGTGTTGCAAGCGTATGGGATGTTGGGGTCACTTCTAAGAGTTCTTTGAATTCCCAAAGAAAAAAATGTTGTGTTTGCATCCTCTGCACTAAGTCAAGCTCATTCCCAGTGCCAGTTGGTGTACACCAGGGCTGTCTCATGTCACTGACCCTTTTTGTTGTGTTTGCGGGCAGGTGGGCACTTTTCTATCTAATCAAGCCCCTCAAAGAGCTTTACAACACAATCTGTGCCATCGTTTACCTCCACACATACACACACATTCATACAGCACTCGTACATCTCTATAAATCTAATTGAAGAAACCATTCTAAAGAGACTAATCAGTGCCTTATCACATTCATACACCGATGGGACACACAT